AAGATAAAAACAGTAAAAACATTGAAGACATCAAAACCCACACTCTAACCCTAATTTAGCCACTTCTAAAAGCAATCAGTTGCATTGAATCTTATTTCCAAACTACATTAAATATTATAGCTAAAATATGACAGTAGAAAAATACTTTTACAAGGCATGGTATGTCTGCATTCTCACTTGATTTATTTTTTGTCTATTTTTAAAATGGATTTTAGTTCCACTCCTAAGTCTTATTTTTATTATTTTAATTGCTGATGAGAAAAACAGACTTAGAAAAGTGATTGATATAGCTGTTCAGTCTGCAGTAAATGTAATGCTGTTAAGTCAATACTCAGATTCTCCTGCACCGTCTCGTGCTCACTCTGTGTCAGCTGTTGAAACTCTGGTCTGCAGGGCTCCACGGGTCACACAGCTGCTAACTGGCTCAATATTCAGTCTGGAACAATACAGATTAAACACCTGAGCAAGATCATTCATTTTCCTGATGCATCTAAACAACCCAAATGCCAAGTAATGCTGCTGGAAAACAGAGTGACAGACAGACAGACATATAGATTCTAAATTCCACTCCATTTCCTTACATAGTATTTGCTGAAGTTAAGAAAATGTATTTTTTTATATACACCTCCAAGTGCCTAAAAATGTTGTGCTGGTTGTACTTCAAGTTCAATTTGAGTTCAAGCTGAAATAAGGGCAGTAGGAGAGAAAAATCACATTAATGAAAGTAGAGGTGGAATACAGTAAATTTCTATAGAATCTAAAATGCCTCATCATCATCATCATCATCATCATCATCATCATCATCATCATCATCATCATCGTGTCACTTAGGTAGAGAAAAAAATCCATTTCTATAGGTGCCTCAGCAGAGAGCAGGGCACATTCACTCTATACAGAGCATCAGCAAATGTTAGCTTACCACAGACAAAAGAATGGAGGACTGGTGGAGGGTTAAGGAAGTAAAGAAGTGTGCAGAGTGTGGATCTAAAGAAATAGGCAGCTTTCCAGGTCATTCATTTCATTGCGTAACCTGGCAAACAGTCCAGTGCTGCATAATGCACACTCTGTTATACAGCACCAGACCGCCTGCAGTAAGACAAGCATTTATGCACTTTTTGATGTCCTTACATACACGCACACACACACACACACACGCACACACACCAAAATGGTCATGCACATACTTTCAATTCAGTCCATTTAGCCTGAGTACCACTCCAGCAGAGTGGCCCTGTGTTGTCATGGTTACCACATCCCAGCAGCTGGGAGGATGAGGGGATGGAATGATGGAGTGAAGTGGAAAAGTTGAATTTAGAGAGAGTATGAAATGCTGATAAGAGCTCTGGTAGACAGCACGTTGGAAATGGAAAGAGTAAAAAGGAAGCCATAAAAACTGACAGTAGACATGAAGGCAGCAGGTGGGCACTGAGAATTTATCCAGAAGTATTAAAGAGACATAATGTGTACAGAAGGGTTCAAGGTTTTATATTTCCTGACAGTGTAATCGTAAGAAACTTCAACCTGATTGACTAACATCGTTTTCATGACTGACAGCTTTTGGCTTATATGAGAGGAATTTGAACTGAAGAGTGGGAGAAGGCAGCTTGTCAGGAAGGTGGATAGGCAGGTTAGTGAAGGTATCCTGAAGATGAGTGTCACCATGGGGTAGAAAGGCAGGCGAGTTCACAGGATGAGTTGTGCAAATGAGACTGAAGGACCATTAGTGAATGCTTAAATTAACGATTCAGTGTGAGATGAAACAAGGAAAATATCTGGGAAAATAAACTTTGTGGACATGGAAACAATGAGGACAATGCAACACGCTGCAGCCAAGTTAAGATTTGATTCAATTTAGCATTTTTTTCTGGAAATACATTTAAAAAGTTTCTACTTACATGAAGTTTACACAAGATGTTGGCAAAAACGCAAGTAATCCTCATCTACTTTCACCTTCAGATTCTAGTCAAGAATGTAGTGGTAAATTTCTTTATTCATTCTTTTCTTAAGTATTTATCAAATCTGCCGGTGGCTCTCTTTAATGTTCCGCCTGCAGACTTCCCTTTTGGCATGGCCATTTGGGGTGACAGACAGAACCATTTTACCTCTAAATATGACATGTGCAATGACCAGACTGATTTTTTTTTTCAAAATCTTCTCAGCAAACCTCAGACAAGTTTCAGCAGTTTTTTCTTCATCTGTGGAGTTTTGTGCCATAAAAATGCCTTGCCTGTTATTTCCAGGTATCTCTGAAGCTCTCTGTAAGTGTCCCTTGGCTCTTTGGCAACTCTCTTAGTCATTTTGTCAGAACGCTTCTCTGAATCACCTGTCTGGTTCTGGTTCATGGTTGACATCTGGGTTTCAGGACTGGAACGTTCAGAAGTTTAGAGTTGCATTTGTAACCGATGCCATTGGTTAGTTTTATAGCAGTGGGCCTTTTTTGTGAAAATTAATTCTAAAACTGTGTGCAACACTTTGCTATTAAGAAAGTGTTAAAAAAGAATAAGTCAATACTTATTTGCACATAGTTATAAGAAAACTTTCTAAACATTGATAGATTTCAACAGTTTTTTGGCTGTCTGTCATTCACTCATCCTATTTTTAATGTTATAAATTTATTTCCTGTGTCATTCCAGTTTTTTTACCCACAACTTTACACTATATGTTGGGTAATCTGTTTAGATTTTTCTGTATGTGTGGATGAGTTTGGTTTTTAATGACAGGGTGTGAATTTTATGGCAGTAACATCCTTAACATACTAAGAAAAATGTTGATATTTTCAATTCTTTTGCAGTCCCCTGTATGTCAAAAGTGGGGAAACACATGGAGCGAAAGTACCTCAGCAACTGACAAGCAATCTAGTGTATACTACCAGTGTATACTAGAAGTGTTCTTTACTAATAATCTAGTCTTATACAGTCGGTTAACCTTGATGTGTTCTGCGTTGTGTTCAGATGAAGAAGGGAGTCAGATCACTGGAGTTGCTGGTTGATCTTTAATGCAGGTTGCTGACAGAGCCCTGCACAAACAGAAATACAAAAAGCCCTTTAACATGCAGCTCTTCCATTCACAGGAGTCGGAATTCCCCCAGCAGATAAGCACATGGAGAAATTCTGTGACTAACTAATAACAATATCTGCTCTAATATTTAAGAAAAATGTTCTGAACTTGTCAAAATAAATGTATGTATTAAAACATAAACATTCACAGCTGCATGTGCTTTCAATTATTTTATAAATTTCAAAAAAACATGAACTTAACCAAGAGCAAAGAAAAGTTCCTACCTCTTCTCAGGCAGCCTAGCGCCAACTGAGAGTAGTACAATACTGATGTCATAAGACACTCTCTTAAAGTGACAGTACAGGTACTAGTGTTTACCAAAATAAATAAAATAATACAATTCTTAAAATATAACAAAGAAAAAATAGGATTCTTCAGTGTTAATCAGGATTTGGTGAAATTTCAAACATTATAAAAATAAATAAAAGCACATTTTCTAAACTTGTTACACTAGCAAGGGGTGTTGGCTTGTGGTGCACCTTCTATGCTGAAAGGTCTGATGACAGGAAGTGTGAATGGTGCTGCTCTGTGGAGGACTGGACTCTGTAACCAAAGAATTAGAGGAATAAAATGTTAAACTTCTTTGCTCGTTGTTTTCCTCTTGTGTCCCGATTTCAGGGCTCCGTAATGTACACAGTGGAAAAACACACAGAGAACAACCAGTCGCCATTCAACGTCAGAGATATCTAGAGTTTTATTCAGACAATTAAATGGATAGAAAAACAGATCAGCGTCGCACCCAAACCATCAAGAAGTCCAAATCATAAAACAGACATTTAATTACCTGAGAAAAGTAGAAAAATGAACAAAACACAAAAATAAGAGAAAAAGCAAAGGCGCCTTTGGGAATCGCTCGTGCGGCTGCAAACAAAGCAATTCGATTTGCTGCTATAAAATGGGGACTTTTTATTAAGAGGTGTAGTCCTAATTTTAATATATGCATTGAAGGTGTGTCCTCTCCTTCTAGTCCTCCAAGCAGTTTCAAATTACCTAGATGGGATGGTCTAAATGATTTTGTCACCTTCTTTGAGACGTATTCAAAACCGAAGTTGAAGAGAGAGAGAGAGAGAGAGAGAGAGAGAGAGAGAGCAAAGGTCCAGAGTGAGTAAAAGTTAGAGAGAGCAAAGGTCATTCTCAAACAGGATTTTCTCATGTCGGTTACATCTGGAGTCTCTCCTCTTCCTCCCTTTCTAAACATTTGAACAAAGACCCTAGTTGTCAGAAAGACATTTATTTTTCACCTAGACCTTGTTTTGTTTTTCTCCAGGTTTTAAGTGTCTTCATTACCCCTAGAAAATCACTAAAGAATTTGACTTGTGAACAGACAGAACTTGTCTTTTCCATCATGTTTTTATCTGAACTGCCCAGCATCTGTTTCCTTTTCTGAGCAATTAATCAAAAAACAGATTCTTGCATTAAACCTAAAGTAATATATAGGCAACTTGGAACCCAGTGTTCTTATTTTAAAATGCTGATGATTCTATATAATATTATACATATGGTTAAGTTTAAAAACTAGCATATTTTAATTTTATTTTCCTAACAACTCCCAACAGGGAGAAACACGAACAATTAGTGGAGACAAAAACAATTTAAAAATCACTGCTCCATACAGGTCAGGATCATGACACCTTCATGACCTTTCCTACACGTTCTCTCTTGGTGTTTAATTTCCCTCATGCTACAGTGACGTTGTGATCGTGAATTGCTTAAACTGCCATGGTGATCATTTTTATTCTGTGGATAAAATCAACTCCAACTCAGACACTGAATGAAAATCTATCGCATTAAAGGTGGCTTACATTGTAGGCCTGTCTTTGTGTAATATTGTGGAATCATAATTTAATAAAGTATTTGCAATAAACTCGTTCAATCATAAAATAAATGTTGTTTGGAAGATGCAGTCATGTCAATAAGTTATGACACCTTGTGAAGACGTCTGAGTCGTTCTAATCTGTTGGCAAATGGAGTTTTAATATAAAGCTGATATAAAAAAATAAATAACATTAAGACACAATTCGAGGTGAAGAAACAATACTATAAGCTTTTCTAATCCTGTCATAAAAAATATATTTTCTACAAAGAAATGTACTTGACCTCTCCCACTTTTATTTGCAGTTAAAATGTTTAAACTCTCACACAGACTCATCAGTTCTGGTAAACATGGGGAGAACATTGACACTTGGTATTTTGACATAGCTTTACCCATTTTAGACCTCAGGCATCGGTCTGCTCCTGTCATTCTGTTGAAATGAGAGCGGGCAGCACAGTGAGATCAAAGAGACATCAGTGGAGAGATTTAAAGAGATCTGAAAGGAATTTGAAGTCAACAAGTTCGCTGTCCAGTAAATGGACAAGTGGAAGACATTCAGGAGAACTGTCAACATATAAAATTCTGGCAGTCCAGGCAATCTCACCAAACAAGAGTAGACAGCAAAATCTGAAATCTTCTAAAACCCCAAAGCATCATTACAGGGTTTACAGCGGGTTCCTGATGCTGATGAATATGAAAATCAATGGTGGTGCAAGCAGAAAGAGACTGCACAAATTTAAACTTCAGGAGAGATGTGCCAGCAAAACATAAAGCTGGCACAAGGTAGACAAGCTTGCCAAGGTAGACAAGTACCAGGAAGTCTGAGGTAGTGTTCTTTAAAAAGATGAACCAAATACTGAAATGTTCAAACACTACAACAGAGGGCACATTTAAAGCAAAAATAATATTTCAGGCAGTCATACCAGCTGCATTGCATGGAGGTGGAAGCTCACTACTGTCAGATAATGGTCTATGATCACTGGGATTGGCTCTAATATGAGGTCCTACTCACCTGTTCTCTGCTCAGACATTAATTCTTTATGTCAGGATCTCTGAGACCTTTTCAGTATCAGTCTGCTGCCTCCTGTGGTACCATAAGTTATTCCCTTCTCTACAGATCCCAGCTGTGTCACTGGTCCTTCTGAAACACCAACTTCTTCCTCAATCTGCATTAATAATTTCCGGTTGTTACTAGAGTAAATTATGTGCTTCTTCCAACCCTTTATAGAGTAGAATCTATTGTTTGTCACTGTACATATGTACAATGATATTAAAGGTTATTCAGAGAATAACCTTTATTATTCTCTACTGGTACTGATGCAAAACCAGCAGCACACCTGGTTTTGCATCAATACTTCCTTCCTTAGCTCTAAGAACCATCGTAGAATCCAGCCTGAACTGAACCATGTTTCAGAGGGTGACTGAAACATGCAAAAACATTAATGCTGAAGCAGATCTGGACCTTCCTCATGACTATGACCAAAAACCATACCAGAAAATCCTCCAAGTACTGCCGCAGAATTCAGACATGGTGAGCCCAGATCTTGATCTCACAGGGATGCTGTGCAGTTCATGTAAGAAACCCTTGGAAGCTCTCATGGCTGTAAGCCAGGTCAGGGGAAAACTTTCCTCAGGCAGACATCAGACGCTGGTGGACAGTTAGAAGAAGCATCTCACTAACGTTACAGCTGCAGCATGTAACAAAGAAATTACAGTATGAGACAGACAATCTGTGAAAAAACAGTGTCCCTCTGCCTTCCCCCAGTGCTCCCAGATTCAGTGTAAACTAGAATCAACCATTGAGTGCCAGGAGGCGGGTCTTAGCGCTGTCAGCTACAGTCTTGTGTGCTGTCGCTCCTCCCCCTCCCTCCACAGCTTTTCCCTGTCAGCATAGCATGTTGTGAATGCTCAGGCTAGTTAGCATAGCCAAAGATTGTGGCAGATAAACAGTTCTCCTGTAATGCTAAGTTGTTTTTCCACCATTTGCACATTTAGCATTGAGTACATGAGTTTGAGTAAAAGCGCTAAGCCCCTCCTCCTGGCTCTGATTGGTTGATTATCTTCATCATGACAAACTGTTATGACATGGTGACAGACTTAACAAATATGTAAAAAACATATTCTTTAGAAAAGTTATATACTGGAGCTTTAGAGGCTGGCTCTGGAAATGAAATAAACCACTCTTATTTCCAGAGATAAATAAAAAAATAAGTTGGGTTAAACATCAATATTTGAACTAAGGTATCTAAATAATACCTGAATATTTAGTAGGGTGTCTAATTATTTTTTATCACTGTATGAATGTATATACTGCATGTCATAAAAAATATATTTTCTAGTTAACAGACCTTACCAGAGAAAAACAGAACATTTCGTGCTTAACTGTATTACATTAAAATACAGACCGTAGTAATGGAAAATAGCAACACAGGCTGCACTCCTGTATTGTGCCAAGCCTCCACTTATTCTGAGTCCTAAGTATTATTCAACTCATAATTTGTTACTGCATGGTGAGGTAAAACAGTCTGCGACACTATAATAATGTATCTAATACTGTTGGACAGTGAAGAATAATGCAACAGTAATGGATTTTATGTAAGAGTGGTTTTATTGATATTAGACGCTGCTTTGGAAGATTAAACCATTAGTTTATGGTGATGAGATCAGCGCTGTGGCAGGCAGCTAAATAGCATGGGGAAAGTCTGTGGAGAGAGACGATTAAATAAAAATGAACTTGTGCTGATAATTGTCAATGATTCCCACCAATAACCACTGTGGTGCAATAAGCTCATGCTGTCAGATCTCAAATAGGGTTGTAAGCATTTGGCCTTGATAAAGTCTCCCAGTTCTCTCTGCCAGCACATCACCTGGAGCAGCAATTGGCTGGACTGCAGTGAAGTGGCAGCACCAAGGGAATGAACCTGTCTGTGCACCCCAGGAAATCTGATTTCTAGCAGTAAGATGGAATATTATTTATGATTCCATTCATATTTGAGTCAGTACAATCTGTCTTTTCAGGTGGAGGTGAGATATTTGTATATGTGTGTCAAATATTAAGATTGAAAGCAACACTGGGGAATTTTACTGCAGTTTTTTGGGGTAAGTAGGAGAAAAAGTTTGCTGAGAACAGATTAGTTTTAATCAACCAATGGCATGTGCTCACTAACACACTGAAACACTAACATATGAACACACCTAAACCTTCTGTTGAGGTGAAAGAACCTTGCAATCAGATTTAGTTCTAGTAATAACTGTATTTCTGTGTCTTTGAGTGTGTGTGTGTGTGTGTGTGTGTGTGTGTGAGAGACTCCAGAAGGTTTCCTGCAACATTCAGATCTGTTACTGCTCCAACACTCTCACATTAAAAAAGAACTTTGACATTGACTCAGTATATTGTGTGGCTACTGATATTGAATGAATTAAAGGCCATTGAGCCAGTTGATGTATGATTGTAAGCAGGGGTATACAAGGATGACGCTATGTGCCAAGCTCAAGTTTACTCGTGGTTCACCCGCTTTAAAAATGGTGAAATGTTCATTGATGATCAACTGTGTTCTGGACTTCCGTCAACTTCCCGAACGGACGAAAGTGTCCAACAAATCAACGAGCTTGTG